TATATTTATTTATATATTATTTATAAATATATATTTATTTATATATAAATATTGTAAAATATATAAATTTTAAATTATACAAAAATTATAAATACAAATGCCTGGATATTATTATAAATATTTAGCATTTATAATCATAAATTATAAATATATAGCATATAAATATATATTTTATATAAATATATATTTAATATACTTACTATATTTATATATTTACTATATATTTATATACTTATATATTATATATTTATATATTTATTTATAATGCTATGTATTATACAGCATTATAAATATACAGCATATAAAATATATAGATTATATAAAATTATGATTAATACATATTATGTTACATATATTTATTACATATTATTATAATCCTATTCATGGCAGGCAGTGCCCGGCTGTGGATCCCCTCACCTGTTGCCGGCTGTACTCGTAGGGATCGGGGTCGTAGGAGGAGCCTCGGATGCCGATCTGCACCACGCGCCCGCAGTCCAGCAGTCCCTCCTCCACACAGCGCCGGAACGGGGTCCCGTGGTAGATCTTCTCCCCCAGGGCCACGTCCCCGGTGTCCGTGTGAGCATCCACGTGCACCAGGCCCACGGGACCGTGTCTGCTCCAGACAGGGTGCACACGTTTAGTCCCCACCCTGTGCGCAGTGGCCCTGCCCACCGCCTGGAGAGCAAACCGGGGGCATTCCTGAGGTGCTTCCCAGGCCCTTATTTTACACCTCCAGGTTAAAAACTTACTTTGCTGCCAGGGCCTGCAGGATTGGGTACGTTATGGTGTGCTCTCCACCTGCAGCAGAACAGGGAAGAGGGGGTAACACACTGCAAGAGCTGCTCAGCACTCATTACCTCTGTTCCCAGGTATTCTTTTCCCCTCCTTGCATTTATCCTGCATTTATTTATACACTCCAAAGCTTCATTCCCGAAGGAAAACCTGAGGCTCCTGAGTGCAGGTTGTTTCCTATCTCCTCTTTCTTCCTGGGGAGGACCAGAGATGCAGGACTGCCAGCAGGGACAGCCAGTGGAGCAGGACCCTTGACTGGGCTTATAAATAGACACATGATCCATTTCTGAGGATGCTGTAACTGGTGATTTGCCCCTCGTTACTCTACACATTCTCTTCCTTTAGCAATGCCAAGCTGTGACAGCTGCAAACTTGAACATGTGCCCAAATGAAGCCTCATGCAAAGCCAGGCACACCCACAGGTGGATGGACACAAGGGATGTGTCCTGGTGTGGTTCTGCAGGACACCAAAAACACATCACTGGCTGTATTTACAGACTGACCCATCCTCATCATTTTTGACCTAAAAGGGGCATCAAAGAACAGCCAGTCCAGCATCACTCACCCTCTGCTGTGTTTGGATTGAATGATGGGAGGGAGGAGGAAGAGGAGGAGCTTGGCTGAGCAGGTGGACACACGGTCCTTACCCAAGGTGAGGGGCACACAGCCAGAGGCCACGATCTCCTGGTAGGACTCTCGGATGAGGCGGCAGCTGTCGGGCAGGTTGTAGAGGTTCACCTTCACGTCCCCGATGTCAGCGACCCGCAGGGAGTCGAAAGGCGCAGCCCCGGTGCTGCCGTTGTACCTCCTCACCATGGCCGACTCCGCGCGGATCTGACGTGGGCCGAACCTGGGGAATGGCGCAGCTGGGAAAAGCCACCGGGCAGAGCTCCCAGCGCTCCTCTCAGCAGAGGGGAGCTGTGCCAGAGCGAAGCACCAGCTCCCCACGGCTCACCCTTACCTGGCTCCCGGCCGGTTGGATGTACCTGTGTCCAGCGGGACACCGACAAACGCCGCGTCCAGTCCCTGCGCCGACGCCTGTACGGGGAGTCTCATCATGGAGCAGACCCCCACGGGCCGGGCCACGAGCAGGGCACTGGGAGGCACGTTGAACTGTGAGCCCCAGCAGCAAGGGGCCCTGCTCCCCAGGATCGGGGGCTGGAGGAACCCCTTGGACACACTGGGTGAGGAGCTGGAGGCGGCCAGAGGAGCCAGGAGCCACGGGCCGCAGTGTGAGGTAGCCACTGCACTGGTCACTGCAGTCGTCAGCTTGCGAGTGCAGGGTCCAGCTTGCCAGGGCAGCAGCTGGAAGCAGCCAGCCCAGAGCAGGTGCCTCATCCTGCTCCACAGACTCCCACTCTCTATCCCACAGGGAACACAGCGAGAGGTGCTTTGGAGCCGGTTCTGTCTCCACTCGAGTGTCAGGGGTGGGCAGAGAGCCAGCAGCCTCCGCCAAGCCTCCCTCCAGGGTTCAAAGTGCAGTCGGACATCCCACTACCCAGGGAAGGGCAGAGATCCAGCCCAGTCACCCCCTTTCCCAATGGCACAGTCCTGGCAAACACCAGGAGCAAACACGGCAGTGAGAGGCTTTGGCTTGAGCGCCTTCACCAAGAGCCTGTGCAGGGATTAGCGGGACAGGGCAGGAGGGGACACACTGGGAAACATCCCAGTTGGCTCCCCTCGGGCATTCACAGACAGCATGGCAGCATTTGTAGCATTAACAGCTTGCACTTTTAACCTGCACCTCACAAAAGCACCCAGAATGCTGAGGAGTCATGAAAATGGAAGGCAGGAGGGAAAGAAAACAAAAGGAAAGTCCAAGCTCAGCAGAACGATGGGCAGACAAAATGCAAGCACAGGGGAAGCATTAACAGGGATTTAAGGACCAGAGGGACAAGCTGTGGGACAAGCGTTTTAGGCTGGTTTTGAGGGCAGAGATGAAATGATTGCCAGGGCAAGCAAGTTTCCAGTTTGGAGTTGACCAGCACAGATTAAATCCTGGCTGGGTGAATACCAACACACTTGAAATCAGACGGCTCCAGCTCCTAATTCTGCTCCCTACTCATGTAGAGACTAGACCTGGGAGAGGGAAAGGCATGGGAATGATGTTCACAGCAGAAAGAGGGCTCAGAGCAGAGATCCACCACACAGGGACAGTATTTACTCTCCAAAAGGCTCCAGAGGCAGTGAGCAGGGAATGTGCCTCGCTGCCAGACCTGGGCACAGAGCTCACAGGAGAGCACAAACAAACCCAAGGCAGCAAAGACACACTGCAAGAATTCAGTATTGTAAGAAGAAGCAGCACCCACTTAGGTTGGGTCAGATCAATATTACAAAGGTCTTTTTTTGCAACATTTTTCCCCAAAGAGCTCAGTTTTCTGTGATTCCCTCTTTGCTGAACTGAAATGCCGTGCAGGACCCTGGCAGAACGTTACCATGTGATGGTTAGGGATATCAGCCATTGCTGCCCTCCACCTGGAAACTGCAGGAGCAGCCAGAGATATACTATGCAGGAGAGCACAAAACAGGCACATCCACAAGCAAAGTCCATTCCTCTTTGGGAAACTCACTTGGAATAAAATACCGTGTTCCACACACTCAGCAATGGAAAGAGCTAAACAATTGTTTAAGACACCATGGATTGAGAGAACCCACACAGCCACAGAGCTTAATCTTCAATTTATTGTGCAACAAGCGTAAATAACGTTGTCCCCAAGTTCCTCTAAACACATTTATAGACACAAAATTGAATGATGTTTCATGGCTGTTGTTATTTAAAGATTGATGTCTCCTGTCCTCCCCACCAAAGGATATTATTTCACTGAATCAAAAACAGGCAGGGAAAACAGCAGGGCATCACACTAAGCTCTTTAAGCAGGTGCTGATGCATAGCCTCATTTTGTTTGGAGCACCATCCCTAACTGGACATTCTGACCCAGCCTTGGACCCTGCAGCAGCATCACCACATAACTACAACAGTTAAGAACAGACACAAGCGGGGTTTGAGGACGATGTGCCTCCACTCTCCTGCGTACAACTGTGAGGTTACTCAGTGCTGCTGACGCTCATGTTACCAGGCAGCACCTCACCAGGAAGCTTCCAGGCTTGTCATTTTGCAGCTCACAGGAATAGCAGCCTCAGACCACCACTGGTTTCCCCAAGAACAGAGAAACTGCACATCCCTTTGTCAGCTCAGCTTTCTCAGAGTGTTGTTAAAGTTGTGATGTTTCCATGTCAAGTGCAGGCAGACAGTGCCTCCTCCCGCCCACCCCATCTCAAAGGGAACCTGCTCCACTCAACACACAAGTCAAGAAAGAACTCCCAAACAGGAGCAAAACCAAACACGTACCTCAGGACACCTGCAAGGTCCACACACCCTCCCACCCAGACAGTAAGTAAGCAAGGGCATCTCCTCTAGCACAGGGAGAAAAGCAGGGTGTGCTAACACTTGCTAGAGGAAACTCAAGCTCTTAAACACAGGCCTGCAGTTTGTTCCCTAAAGCACTACAGGATTCCAGGCAGACAGAAAGGACAGGTTCCTATGTGCCTTTAGAAAGTGCCATTTAACTGAAATGCTCGTGTTCCAGGTGGTTCCTTCACCCAGAATGGCTTCTCCAGGCCAGCAACAGGAATATTGCTGCCCAGAGGTCTTCAAACTCGAGGTTTGCCAAAAAGCACATCTTCATTTTGGTTTCTACCCGGCTTTTATCCACCAGCCTGTTGGTGAGCAGGGTGGCAGCAGACTGGCAGAGGAGCCAGGCGATCATCTGGTCGGGTTTCAGGGTCCTGGATGCTACAACACTGTCACCCCAGAGGCTCAGGTGAAGCACGTTTGCAGCAACTCTCGCAGACAACCTCTGCAAGAGGAGGGAGAGGGAAGGTTAGCTGATCCCTCTGCACTCAGTCACATCACCAGCACAGAGCATCTGTACTGACAAAACTCTCTGTCAATTAAAAGCTCTCTGTGATTATTAATGTCAGGCTGCTCAGTGAAACCCCCAATCTGAGGTCCAGTCGTGACACAAACATCTGCTGAAATCCCTGAAATGATTCAGCACCACTGTCCCTCAGCAAAGACTTTTTGTTTAGATTTGACCCTTATGGAGGCTGCAGTGAGATCTGGATCAACTCCTGCACTCGCAGTCCTCCAAGGCAAAACAATCCACAAACGACACTCCCAAAGGGCATATCTTGAAGACAGCGGTTCTTACCTTGTTGGGATCCCTCTGGAGCAGCATCTTTATCACTTGCTTCACCTCGAGGGGCACGTGATCAGGCAGGAGGGGCAGCTGGTCCTCCTGGTAACTTCTGCTTTCCAGAGTCGAGTCCCCGTGGCCATAGAAAGGATTGGCCAGGCCCAGGATTTCGTAGGCGATCGCTCCAACAGCCCAAGCATCAGCTTTGCTGTAGTTGATCACTGTGCCTGGGCCAGGTGACGCTGTGATCACCTGCCACAGAGAGGGGGATGCTCAAACAAACAGCCCGAGTGTGGCCTCTGTGCTCAAATTTGATTTTCAATGGTCAAATCGGCATTTTTCCTGTAATAAACTGAAAGACTGAAACCAAAGGCGGGTTCCATGGAGATTTCCAGTGTAAATATTCCCCATTGGCACGAAATAAGCCTCTGGCACTGCTCAGCCCACTGGGATGCTGGGAGGAGTTTGGACATTGCACCTAAGTTGCCACTGACTGGCATTCTCCGAGTCCCAAGGGCTGTTTTCTGCTGGAATTATGGAGACAGGAGACATGGAGATGAACAACCGACACCACAGCAAGGTGTGCCAGGTCCAGCACAGTTAAGGGTGTCTTGGCTTTTATTGGGGTTATCATCAGAGAAATAAAAAGGAACTGCAAATAATTTCACAATCGCCTTGAACTTCAGCCAAAAACCACTGTTGCAACATGAGGACTGCTGGATATAATTCTTTATAGTTACACAGGAAGGGGCCTGAATAAAGACTGAAGAGTAAATTTTGGGGGGAAAGACACCAACTGATTATGTTTCACCTGTTAGAGCTCAACGTGTCTGCTGGACAGTGCTCAGCTCAGGCTTCACCAAGCCTAACTTAAGTTAGGACATGGACACCTTCTATGTTGCCAAAACTCCCAACAGCAGGACAAGCAGAAAACCAGCACCATAAACCACCACTTCAGAGGGACTTACCTCTGGTGCCATAAGGCAGCCGTTGCCACCCCGATCCACGTAGGAGCTGGTGAAAGGCAGCCTCAGGCCAACTTTTTCATCTGCCAGACAGCAGCCAAAGTCGGTGATGACCAGCCAGGGGCAGCCAGCTGTGAACAACACAGGGCTGGCAGAGTTAGGGTTCCGTTTGGGAGGACATGGCTGCACTGAACACCACATCCCATCAACACCCAGCCTGGTGTCCTCTGCAAACTGACTGAGGGTGCACTCCCATCCCCTTATCCAGATAGTTGATTCAGTAGAGCAACCTGGTCTAGTGGGAGGTATCCCTGCCAATGGCAGGGGGGTTGGAATGAGATGAGCTTTAGGGTCCCATCCAACCCAGGCCATTCTATGATTCTAAATCCTGAGCCCTGGGGAAGAGGGAATCCTCTGTATCGTGCACCCTCTCTCAGGGAAGGTAGGGTGCATTCCCATACTCTCTGTCTCTCCCTGATACTCTTCAAGCTAATTCTTCTACTCCTAATTACACAGACCTGCCTGCTATTGCTTCCTGCCCATTTAAATCTCAATCACACTGAAAACGAGCTCAGGTAATTAAAATCTCCGTTAGAGGCTGACAGAACAAGCCCATGAAAAAGATGCTTTTGGCCGTAACAGTCGATTCCTCTTGCTCCCAACCCATGTTTCATCATCCCAGGGTGATGCAGAATTAACTTGGCTATGGAGTAAGATTTTAAGAGGCTCTCTGTGCAGTTTGGCGTGGGAGAGATGACAGAGCCAATAGCCTGAAGCAAAGGCACCTGCAGCATCCCAAATGTGGCGTTATCAGATGCTCCAGTGAACGCTGGCTGCGCTCATGCAATTCATCACCTCAGCAATACTCTGTGTCCATGTTAATGATCCAAAACCCCATGCACAGACAGGATTCATGACTTCCCCACTGCTGCAGTGACACCAAACACCAAGCTAAAAATTACACCTGAGATTCTTCAAAGGGTTTGATGTTTTTTCCCCACACACACGCAGCTGGGTGAGACTTCCCTGAATACCTACACGACTGCATCCCTTCTACAAGTTAATTGGCATTTATCCTCAGGGATCTACGTACCAGAATCGAATTCAACCAGGATGTTGTCAGACTTGAGGTCTCTGTGTGCTATCCCATGTCGAACAAGATGGTCCACGCCTTCCAAGAGCTGTAAAATCATCATTGTGGAGAGGCGAACATCCGGAGTGTTCTCCCGCAGGTACTGGCGCAGTGTGCAAGGGTAACTAGGCAGAACAGGGGAAAACTGGGAATTAGCATCCTGGAAGCTTATCACTGGCAGTTCAACCTCAGTGTTGGCTCATCTGATTACTGATTCTACTCCATCTCTAGCAGCATGCTCAGACTAAGGGTGAACTTCAGGCTTAGGAGGGCAGGCGAATGGGGACAAACTCCACACTTCTTACTTTAATTTGGGGTAATTATTAAAAAGAACGATTTGTGTTCATTGTGGAATCAGAGTTAGAAGCT